CCTGCCGAACCCCTCTCTTGACATCAATGATCACTTTTTTGTAGAATGGTGAGATCCTGGTAGTGAATTCGTATTACAGCTCATGGAGGATCCTGATGTATTGAGTTTGAATGCCCTGATTGGCTAGGGCTTCGATGACCGCTTCCATCTCAACAGAATCAAAGGCCTTCTTTAAATCAATGAACATTAGACAGAGCAGCATCTTGAACTCCCGAGAAACCTCAATGAGTTTGGTTATCATGTGGATATGGTTGATGGTACTGAATCCTTTGCGGAACCTGGCTTGTTTACATGGTTGACCTTCATCTAGTGTTCTGCCAATCCTATTCAGCATGACTCGATTGAACAGCTTGTAGATGACAGACAATAGGCAGATTGGGCGATAGTTGCCAATGTCGTGGATGTCTACCTTCTTGTACAGTAGTACAGTCCTGCTGGTTTTCCATTGGGATGGAACATTGCATTCAGACAGGTAGCATGTGAAGAGTCGAGCCAGCGTATTGATGAGTACTGACGGCAGGTTCTCAGGTGTTCAGGTCTGACCTTGTCTGGGCCGGGTGCTGTTTGTTTCTTTACCGACAAAATGGCGTGTCAGATTTCGGAAGGGAGAACATTGGGAACAACATATCCATCCTGTGGAATTTGGTATGTCGGCAGGTGGACATGGCTATCGAAGAGATCTGAGTAGAAGTCATGGATAATCTTCTCCATTGCCGTTCTGGAGGATGTGATGGATCCATCAGGACGTCGGAGGGCAGTCATCTTGGTCTTGTAGTTGGCGAAGGACAGGCGGGCGTTACAAATGCTTTTCCCAGCTTCTGCCGCATCTACCAGTACTTCTGCTCTTCTCTCTTTGAGGTCTTCCTTGATCGCATCTCTGCACTGCTTTGCAAGCTCAGACGTTCGTTGCGGTTGCCTGAGGCATGCGCCAAACCATGTTGGCAAATAAGCTCAAGAGTTTTCAAAGACAGGCATTTTTTTGTGGCTATCTCTCTCTCTTGGCATTCCTCACACACTCATGGAGGTGCTGATCCAGTCAATAATATTCCTCATCAATGTTGTCAACAAAGAAACAAACAGCACCCGGCCCAGACAAGGTCAGACCTGAACACCTGAAGAACCTGCCGTCAGTACTCATCAATACACTGGCTCGGCTCTTCACTCGCTACCTGTCTGAATGCAAGGTTCCGTCCCAGTGGAAAACCAGCAGGACTGTACTACTGTTCAAGAAGGGAGACATCCATGACATTGGCAACTATCGCCCGATCTGCCTATTGTCTGTCATCTACAAGCTGTTCACTCGAGTCATCCTGAATAGGATTGGCAGAACACTAGATGAAGGACAACCATGTGAGCAAGCAGGGTTCCGCAAAGGATTCAGCACCATCGACCATATCCACACGGTAACCAAGCTCATTGAGGTTTCTCGGGAGTTCAAGATGCCGCTCTGCTTAACGTTCATTGATTTAAAGAAGGCCTTTGATTCTGTTGAGACGGAAGCGGTCATTGAAGCCCTAGCCAATCAGGGCATTCAAGCCCAATACATCAGGATCCTCCATGAGCTGTATTGCAGATTCACTACCAGGATCTCACCATTCTACAAAGAAGTGATCGTTGATGTCAAGAGAGGGGTGCGGCAGGGTGATACCATTTCACCGAAACTCTTCAGTGCCACCCTCGAGAACATCATGTGACGACTGGAATGGGAAGGAATGGGAGTGAAGATAGATGGTCGGCAACTACACCACCTCCGCTTTGCTGATGACATTGTTTTAATAACACCAAACATCAGCCAAGCGGCACTAATGCTGGCCGACTTTGACCGTGAGTGTGGAAAGGTAGGACTACAGCTGAATCTTACGAAGACAATGTTTATGAGAAACAGCCTTGTTCCTGACGCCCCATTCGCTCTCAATGGAACGACCATCTCCGAATGCAACAGCTATGTGTACCTAGGTCGGGAGGTCAACATGACTAATGACCTGGCACCCGAGCTGCGCAGGAGGAAGAGAGCGGCTTGGAACGCCTTCAAGAACGTCGAAGAAATAGCTAAGAGGACGAAGAACCTCCGGCTCCGGGCACATCTCTTTGATTCCACTGTTCTTCCTGCATTAACATACGCCTCAGAGACCTGGGCCCTACGCAAACAGGATGAGAACGCTATTCAGGTCTCCCAAAGAAGAATAGAAAGAGCTATGCTTGGAATATCACGTTTCACTCAAATGAGAGAACGAATCCGGAGTTCTGACATCCGTCGACGATCAAGGATCAGGGACGCTGTCTCATTTGCCAAGGTGTCGAAAATCAGATGGGCTGGTCACGTAATGGGATTTAAAGACGACCGTTGGACTAGAGCTGTTACTGATTGGATTCCACGGGATGTCAAGAGACCGCGTGGCCGCCCACCTACCAGATGGTCAGACTTCTTCGTGAAGATCATGAACGATCGGTTTGAGGCTCTTCATGATCCCAGAGCGAACAGATGCCATTGGGCTACACTAGCACGCGACAGGGACAAATGGAGACGTTACTGGCGCCCGCTCGAGCAAATCGACGACTAACGGGAAGTTAAGTGATTAAGTGAATGCTGTCAACAACGGCATCTTCCCATGTTGCAGTGATAGTGCCAAAGAGCTCCCAGTTGGTGGTCATTCTGGGAGTTCTCTTTTTAAACTTTGCAGCCCTTTCTCCCCACTCTGTGAAGTAGAATTTTGCACAAAGGAGACGGTGGTTTGATCCCGTTTGGAATTTTGGGACAACAGCGACATAGGTCAGGTAAAACCGTTGATTGAATATGATGTGGTCTATTTCGTTGTGGAACCGTCCACCGGGAGACTCCCATGTCCAACGTTTAGATTCGGCCTTCTGGAACTGTGAGTTACCATGGATGGTCTTGGTCGACAGGATGAACTCAGACAGTCTCTCACCCTGTTCGTTCCATTCTAGGCCATGGGTCTCGATATGGAGTTCTTCGGCTGATCTTCTCGGTCCTATCTTGGCATTAAAATCACATTAGGGGCTGGAGAGATAGCACAGCGGGTAGGGTGTTTGCCTTGCACGTGGCCGACCTGGGTTCGATTCCCAGCATCCCATATGGATCCCTGAGCACAGCCAGGAGTAACTCCTGAGTGCAGAGCCAGAAGTAACCCCTGTGCATCGCCAGGTGTGACCCAAAAAGCAAAAAAAAAAAATCACATTAAATTATATTTTTATATAAAATTTATATATTTAAATAATTTTTAGGAGGATTGGGGCTAAACCCTGTAGTGCTCATGGTTTTCTCCTTTGCCCTCAGAGATAGCTCCTAGTGGGTCTCAGGGAACCAAACTGGGGTCGCAGGGACTGAACTTGGGTCACTTGCATGCAAGGCAAGCACCTTACCTACTGTTCTATCTTTGGACCCTCGTTTGGTTTTGATGGGGGGGGGGGGGCGGTGAGGGGTTGTTACAACACCTGGAGATGCGCAGGGATGACTCCTGGTTCTGCCCTCAGGAATTACTCCTGGTGAGCTCAGGGCACCATATGGAATACCAGAGACCGAACCCAAGCCACTGGCGTCCTTCAGTAGTATGGCTTTTGCCCCTCCTGTTGGTTTTTCGTTTGCGTCTTTGTTTTGGGGGTTTGGGGTTACACTGACCCAGCTATCTTTGTTTGGGGGGAAGGGGAGATGGGGAGGCAGGGTGAGAGCGGGGAGGGGCTTACTGACTCTATGCTCAAGGATCACTCTTGGCCAGGCGCAGGGACCATATGAGACTCCGGGAATCGAACCCGGGGCAGCCGTGTGCAAGACAAGTGTCTACGCGTTGCCATCACTCCGGCGACCAGCTAGCGTCTTGGTTTTTGTTTGTTTGTTTTTGCTGTTTGGGTCACACCCCATGATGCACAGAGGTTACTCCTGGCTCTGCACTCAGGAATCACTCCTGGCGGTGCTCAGGGGAGCACATGGGATGCTGGGGATCGAACTCTGGGCGTTCGCGTGCAAGGCAAATGCCTTACCCGCTGTGCTAGAGCGCCAGACCTCAGCTAGCGGCTTTGAAGAGAAAAAACTACGTTACCCATGATGCTCTGCCCCGGAAGGAAGTGGGCCGTGACCCCGCCCGTGATCGCTTATAGACCGGAAGCCGGAGCCTTAGTTCTCTTTCCCGTCGTGCAAGGTAAGAATGGCGCGTCGTCTCCGGAAGATCGCGTCCCAGAGCCTCAATCCTTCGCCATCCCGAGCAGGACGGTCTCTCGCCGGCGCGTTGCGGGCGTCCGACATGCGCGGAGCCACTCGAAAGGCCTCCGGACGCGCCATTTCCCGTCTCCGCTCGGGCTTACGTGGGTCCCGAGGGTGAGCTGGACGCGGGCCCACGAGTGGCGCCTGCCTTCTCGGGCCCGGGAGCGGGGCCTCGGACGTGGGCCGCGGCCAGTGGGTCCGGAGGGTCCGGCCGGGGGCGCGCGTGCTCCGGCATCCCGGGCCAGGTTCCAGGCGGAGGCCCCGGGGCCGGTGCCAGCCACGTTGGGGCCGGGAACCGAGGCCGGGCGCGGGGCTCCCCAGGCCGCCGGCCGGAAGTCGCCCCGCGGGCTCTGCACTCTGCAGTCGGGCCGAGTTCGGGCCCGCTCAGCTCTTGCCTCGCCCAGCCGGCTTGCCTCGATGGCACGTCTTCTCCAAAGACTTGGGGAGCAAAGTTTGAAGTTGCAGCCATGCTGTTTCCTGGATTCCCCCCCACCCCCCTTTTTTTTTTTAAAGCCTCGGTGTCGACGAGTTGTAATTTGCCAAAGAACAGTAACAGTGCCGCTGAGGCTTCCCACCGGTACACTTGTTCACACCCTGGACGGGTGTACGATAATGGTTGAGGTTCCTTACAGTGTGCCAGTTGGGGGATCGGTAGAGGACAGAGCCAGGGTGGGGGGTGGGGGGGTTGTATCAGCTCCCCCTTGCCGTGAGCCGACTTGGTGAATGTCAGTATTGCATCTTCTGAAGGGATGGATGGAGCACTTGTATTTTCATATGTCTGCAGATGGCGGGTGAAAAGGTGGAGAAGCCTGCTGCTAAGAAGAAACTCGGACCCAAGACTGTCGGTCCAGATGGCAAGGTTAAGAAGAACCATCGCCCCAAGGTTAAGAAGCCAAAGAAGGGGAAGCCCCACTGCAGCCGCAACCCAGTCCTTGTCCGGGGGATTGGCCGTTATTCCCGGTCTGCTATGTACTCCAGGAAGGCCCTGTACAAGAGGAAGTACTCTGCTGCGAAGTCCAAGGTAAGGGGCTAGGCACCACTGGGGGTCCTGTCTAAATCTTTTAAATATTTGGTTGAGGGGCTGGAGCAATAGCACAGTGGGTAGGGCGTTTGCCTTGCACGCAGCGGACCCGGATTCGATTCCCAGCATCCCATATGGTCCCCTGAGCATTGCCAAGAGTAATTCCTGAGTGCATGAACCAGGAATAACCCCTGTGCATCTCCGGGTGTGACCCAAAAAACAAACAAAAAAAATAGGTAAAATACTTGGTCAAGGTGCAGCGGGAAAGGCACTTGGCTACGTGCAGCCTGCCTGGGTGCCATCCCAGCGTGGTGTATGATTGCAGAATCTGGACAGGAGTGAGGGGGGGGGAATTCCACTGGGTATGAACCCAAAACCACCCCGCAAAATTGTCAGCTTCCAGCTTTTTTTTTCTTTTCGGATCATACCCGGCAATGGTCGGGTTTCTTTTGACTCTGCACTCAGGAGTTAACTTCTGGCGGTGGTAGAGGCCGGGGATTGAACCCCTGGGCGGTTGGGTGTGGGGCAAATTTGCCCACCCCACTGTACTATTGTTCTGGCCCCAGCCTCTAACTTGGATGCATTTGTGTCCCTCATAGATTGAGAAGAAGAAGAAGAAGGAGAAGGTTCTTGCCACAGTCAGAAAGCCAGTCGGTGGCGACAAGAACGGCGGTACCCGGGTGGTGAAGCTGCGTAAGATGGTAAGGGTGGGCCTCGCCAGGGAGTTGGCCATGAGGCGAGTGCAACATCTACTGAGTACGAGCACTGATACGCGCTTTTATCTAATTTGTTTCTCCTTGTGGAGGAATTGGAAGCGAGTCGTTCTTCCATGGAGCTGTGGGCAGGGGGGCCCCCAGAAAAGTCGGTATGGCATATAACAGCCTGCCTTGTAAGCAAGTGTGGTCTGGACACGGCTCCCAGCGGTTCCCGGGAGTCCACAGGATTCCACTCTGTGTTCTCCAAGTAAAGGTTTACGGGAGCAGTTGCTCCTTCCCAAAGGAGAACTCATTAGGTAGGGCCAAGGGATCGGCACTCTCACGAGTTTTGCGTGGGTTTGGTAACTCGAACCCCTGTACTCTGCAGCCTAGGTACTACCCGACCGAGGACGTGCCCCGGAAGCTGCTGAGCCACGGCAAGAAGCCCTTCAGTCAGCACGTGCGGAGACTGCGGGCCAGCATCACTCCGGGAACGGTCCTGATCATGCTCACCGGGCGCCACAGAGGCAAGGTGAGGGGGCACTGGGGGAAATGGGGGTGTTCTGGTGTCCGAGTCTGGGAGCGGACGGTGAATTGCAGCGTGACACCTCATGACGGCCTGGTTACCCCACCCCCCTCCAGTGTGATGTGAGTACCTGGTTCCTTGGCTGGTGATTATGTGACAGTCACTTGGGGGATCAGGCCCGGGACTGTCTGCGCGGGTGTGCTCCAACCCTTTGCGCCATCTCCCCAGGTGCTAATGTCTTTGTGCCTTGGAATATTTGGGGTGAGGAGGGCGTTTCTGGTGATGCTCAGGGGTGCTTACCCTTGGCTCTGCACTTGGTGATTGTTCCTGGGCATGTGAACCGGGTCAGCCTTGCGGCGCAAGGCAAGTGCCCCATTCGCGATACTGTCTGCATGGGCCCTGCCTTGTATTTGTTTACCGTCGAGTACTTTTTACTGGTTTTTGGGTTTTTTTTTTTGTTTTTTTTTTTTGCTTTTTGGGTCATACCCAGCGATGCTCAGGGGTCACTCCTGACTTTGAACTCAGGAATCACTCCTGGGGTGGTGTTCAGGGGACCATATGGGATGCTGGGAATCGAGCCCGGGTTGGCCACATGCAAGGCAAACGCCCTACCCGCTGTGCTATCATTCCAGCCCCACTCCCTACGTTTTTTGATTACACCCTTCCTTTGATCCAGTGCCAGAGCTTCTGAGTATGTACTTGTGCAGATTTTTATGTGTGTTCTGGGTGCCAGTATCAACTCAGGCCTTGTGTGATCAGACCGGGTACTTTCTGACTGGGGCATAACCCAGGCCCCTAGAGTTTTTTTCCTCCCTAACCAAATTCATTTTTGGTTTTGGCCCCCACCTGGTGGTTCTTAGGCATGGGGGACCCCATGGGGGTGAGGGGTTGAACCTGGCTCAGCCACTGATCCCTTGGCCCCCTTCCTAGCCAAATGGTGGGTGATTTGATTGATTGGTTTTTCTTGGGCGGGGGGGGCACACTCAGGGCTTAACCCTTGGCAGGCCTGGGAGCATATTGGGCGCCAGAGATGGAACCAGGGTCCACTGTGTGTCGGGCAAGTCCACCCCTGCTGTGCAGTCATTGGGCCCTGAGGGTTGGGTTTCTTTGTGCAGAGATGGGCTCGGTGAAGTGCCACTTCAAGTGTATGAGGCCTTGAGTTGGATGCTTGGCACCGTGGGCAATGACAAAAAGACTGCAGAATTAACTTGTCTGCTTGATTTCCAGAGGGTGGTTTTCCTGAAGCAGCTGGACAGTGGCCTACTACTTGTCACTGGTAAGATTCTTGGGTCTTTTTTTTTTTTTCCTGACACTTGAACTTCAAAAGCATTTCCCACCAATGTTGCTGTTTCATCTACATGGAGATGCCAGGACTTGTGAGATTCTGTGCTCCCCTTTCCCCATTACATGAGTTCTAAGTAAGCAGTTCTTTAAATTTGATGTGGCAACATCCCCAAGCAATTGCCCCTAGATGGAGTACGTGCCAGAAGGGTTTATTTGGCCCGTGGTCAGTCAATATTAGTGAGTGTGGGTTTTTGTGTTTTTTGTTCGTTTGTGTGGGTGGTTTTTTTTTTTTTTACTTTTTGACTCACACCTGGTGATGCTCAAGGGTTACTCGTGGCTCATGCACTCAGGAATTACTCCTTGCAGCTCACGGGTGACCATATGAGACTCTGGGAATTGAACCCAGGTCGGCAGTGTGCAAGGCAAATGCCCTACCTGCTGTGCTGTCGCTCCAGACCCAGTGACTATTTTATTTATTTAAATGACTTGAGTTACTGAAAAGCCCTTGATGTGGGTAGAAGTAATTTGGTATTTCTTCAGGAAATTTTTTTTTCTTTTTGGGTCATACCCAGCAGTGCTCAGGGGTTACTCCTGGCTTTGCACTCAGGAATTACTCCTGGCGGTGCTTGGGGGACCATATGGGATGCCGGGGATTGAACCCAGGTCGGCCGCATGCAAGGCAAACGCCTTACCCGCTGTGCTATCGCTCCAGCCCCATTTCTTCAGAAAAACTTAACACAAATTTCTCCAGATCCATTCAGTGTCATGAATGTTTGTTGGTGAGACTTCTCTCTCCCTTGGTTTTGCTGTTTGGGGGCCACATTCCACAGTGCACAGGATTTATTCCTGGCTCTGCACTCAGGGATCACTCCTGGCCTGGCACCGGGACCATGCGGGGTGCCCAATAGATACCTGGTTGGCAGTGTGCAAGGGGCGCGCCCTGCCCACCGTCCTGTCTCTCCATCAAATGCATTTGTCCTGCCCTAGGGCCTCTCTGCCTCAATCGCGTCCCCCTGCGCAGAGCACACCAGAAATTCGTCATCGCCACCTCCACCAAAGTTGATCTCAGTGGTGTGAAAATCCCAAAACATCTCACTGATGCTTACTTCAAAAAGAAGAAGCTGCGAAAGCCCAGGCACCAGGAAGGTGAGATCTTCGACACAGAGAAAGAGGTGAGTGTCTATTTCTGTCTTCTCTCTTGGACCTGGCCTCCCTCGGGTGAGCTAGTTGGAAGAATTGCAGGACCGGGGGTGGGGGGGAGCTCCAAGTCTGGATTTGAGCTTCAGAACACCCCCAAAACTCCCTAAACAAAACCAATAAAGTTAAATGAGGACTAGCTCAGGAAGTACGTTCCTAGATTCAGCAGTCGATGGACTTAGCTCAGAATGCCGAGGCTTTGGTACAACCCTGAATTCCTAGTTGTTCCCTTGGGGACTTGCTCTTACCTGTGATAAGTCCTGTGTTAAAGTGATGCATAAACTCCAGTGGGTCGGGTTATGATTCAGTTTTCTCAGGAAATGATGATCAAAACTGCCTTATCGTGTTCTTTAGTTGGCGACAGTTTGGTGCTCGTGCCCTGTGTTCAAGTCATTTCTTTCTTTCTTCACAGAAATATGAGCTGACCGAGCAGCGCAAGGCTGATCAGAAGGCTGTGGACTCGCAAGTCATGCCCAAGGTCAAAGCTGTTCCTCAGCTCCAGGGCTACCTGCGCTCTGTGTTTGCACTCTCCAACGGGGTTTATCCTCACAAATTGGTGTTCTGACTTTCTTACAAGCACCTCATTAAATCATGAATCCATTTTCTCTGCGTCTTATTCTTGTGTGCCCAGAGGTGAGGTGGTGGGGCCGCGTGGGTCCCGGCAGTGGATCGAACCGGACGGACAAGCCTCCACACAGCCAGAGACACTTCCGGGGCCCCGGCATCAGCATTCTCAGTGGCTGGCGAGATACTAGAGCGGGTGGGCGCTTGCCTTGCACACCGGCTTCTTTACCTAACGGCCCGTGTAGTCCCCTGAGTGCCGCTGGGAGTAAACTTTGAGCACAACAGAGTGTGGCCCGCAAATGAACAAGATGTAGCCTGTTGAATTCTACAATCGCTGCCCATCAGGTGTCTTGAATAAAGGACTCCTTTGCAGAAACGGGTCTCACCCAGCAGTTTTTAGGGGACTATTTGAGCCACTGCTCAGGAGTGAAAGCCCCCTGGTATTGCAGAGGAACTATGCAGAGGCAGGAATCGAACCAAGGTCATGACTCATACTGGGCCCCATTTCTGCATCTGGGGGCCTGGGAGGTGGTATAATAGGGAGGGCGCTTGCACACAGCCATCCCCGTTCAAACTGGACCTAGAGTGATGGTGCATTGGGACCTTGGTTCAGTCCTGGTGCCACATCACCCAATCACCCAAACAGGATTAAGCACAAGGCCAGGAGTAATCTGTGAGCACTGCTGGGTATGACCCCAATTCCCCACTCCCCCACAATAAGTGGAGCCTGAGTGACAGGTGGGTGCTTGGTTTTGTGTGTGACCCACCCAGGTTTGGTTTCAGAACCACATACGGTCCCCAATTCTGGCTAGAAATGATCCTTGAGCTTAGAGCTAGGAGTCAGCCCTCGATCGACTGGAGGTTCCATAGGTCCAGCCCTAGAGTGAAAATGCAAAAGGAATAGTTGTTTAGGCTCACATCTGGCTGTGCTCAGGGCTTGTTGGCCAAAGTGCCTCCCAGAAACACCATGCTTATTCCAAGTGACCAGATTCCAATGAAAATCTTAATTAGAATCAATAGGTACAAACTGGTGTCGCACTTAATCATTCCAGCTAAAGCTTTCTGAAAGCTTCCTATTCCTATATTCCCGGAAACGTGCTAATGGTCCTGTTGTCAGAAGGCCTTTCTTGGAGAAGCAACAGGATTTGGGTCACTGGGTCCTGAGGTCCTGAGGGTGTGTCCCAACCCCTCCACCTCCACCTCCCCCCAAAGGAAAAACCAGTAGAGTGACCTCAACATGGATACTACGCTCTTAGTCCTCATCACTGGGACAGCAACAGGATTTGTGTCACTGCGTCCTGAAGTCCTGAGGGTCACTGGGTGTGGCCCAACCCCTCCACCTTCCCCCCCTCCCCAAAGAAAAAACCAATAGGGTGGCCTCAACATGGACACCAAGCCCTTGGTCTTCGTCAGTGGAAGAATTTGAGGATGACTGCAGAGAATGAGGAGTTGGAAAAATGGGACAGCAACGAGGCCACTTGGTCCCTAGCACCCCAGATGCCCCCCAGGAGTGAACCTTGAGTGCATCGCACGTGTAAGCCTTGAGCACTGCCAGATAGGGACCCCAAACCTAAAGGTAAAAACCCCAAATCTCCGGGGCTGGAGCAATAGCACAGCGGGTAGGGCGTCTGCAAAGCCAGGAATGACCCCTAAGCATCGCTGGGTGTGACCCCTCCCCCCCAAAAAAATCAAACTCTGGGTGCAAAACATAGGGTCCTCCTAGGAGCTGGGTGTTTGGCGGAAGGCTGGAGCAGTGTTGCATTTGGGTTACACCCAGTGGTGCTTGACTGCTAGTCCCAGCTCGGTTCCAGCGGGAGAGTTCCTAGAGGTGCTTGAAACCAGTGATGGAGCCCAGAGCACCTCCCATGTCACCCCTCTCTCCCCAGCCTTCTCATCCCCTCCCAAGAGAGCTCATTTCCAAGGGGTACAGCCGACTGCCTGCCAGGGGGCTGGACGGAAGCAGTAGCATTTGCTCTTCCCCTCAAGAAAATTGCACGTAGGGCCCACTTTTCCTTTCTGGCAGCCACCATTGATTTGCTTTTAGGGTTTGGGGCCACACCCCAGATTAGAGGCTTAGAGGCTGCACCTGGCCCAAAACTCGAGGGGTGATTTCTGCCCATGGTCCGTGACTGTCATGCCAGGACTTCAGCTTTTTGCAACATCACCCCCCCCCCCCCCCCCAGCTAAGTTTTGCAGCAAGGGACTGAGGGCAAATTTGCAAAATCAGGATGAAATTTGCTGCTGCAGCGGGGCCTGTGGTGCCCGCGAGGGGGCGCTGCGGTGCCGCATCTGGGAGCTGCGCCCGCTCCACCGACTCCAGCTGTGGAGACTCCTGGTCCCTAAGGGTGATTTGGGGGAGCTCCGAGGAGAATCTCCCCCCTCCTCTCCCAAATATAGTTTATCTGCCTTCCTTTCCCTGATCCCTCACAGTGTGTGTGTGGGTAGCAGGCAGACGCCCGCAGTGTGGGTATGAAGGTTCAGTATGATGAGAAGGTGCTTGTCTTTGGGGTGTCGATCTGTGTGAGTGTGTGATGTGCATGTGTGAGCATGTGAGTGTGAATGCGAGTACACTTGTGAGTATGTGTGAGTATGTGAGTGTGACTGAATGTTTATGTACGAGCGTGAGTAGGTGTGTGTGAGTGTATTTGTGTGTGAGTATTTTGGTGTGTGAGTAGATGAGAGTATGAATGTGAGTGTGTGTGAATGTTTACTGTGCAAGCATTAGTGCATGTGAGTGTGTTGGCGAGTGTGAGTATTGGTGAGTGAGCATCTGAGTGTGAATGTGAGTGTTAGTGTTTATGAGAGTGTGTGAGTATATATGTGAGTGTGTTTGTGAGAATGTATGAGTGTATTTGTGTGTGAGAGTGTGTGTGTGTGTGTGTGTGTTTGTGATTAGCAGATGTGTGCTTTGTGGGATTTTTTTCCCCCTGTGTTTTGAAAAACCTTCAAAATTAACAAATCGCTTTGGTATTTTGCTGATTGATTTATTTTTGTTGGTTGGTTGGTTTTTGCTTTTTTGAGCTACACAGACCAGCACTCAGGTTACTCGAGTCTCTGTGCTCTGCAGTCGCCACCCCTGCCAGTGCTCCAGGGAGTCAGGAATCGGACCCCCGCCTCCTGCAAGTAGTCCATACCCCCAGCCCTCGCACTCTCTCCAGCCCCATTACACGGCTGCTTAGTTTAAAGCTATTTCAAGCTCTACTAAGGTCTATCGGAACCTACTTATCTTCACTGCACACTCACATGTCTGGCTGGCCCAGAAATGTGCCAGAAGGATGACAGAAGCATTTTAGACAGCGACAGGTCCAGAGAGTCAGAAGGGAGAGGGGCTGCCAATTCCAGAGGGACTCTAGCTTGAACCAAGGCCAGTGAGCGGTGTGTCAGCGGCTGGGGCAACTGGGACATGGTCCCCATCAACAAAGCTCGCCTTCCCTTGGGAAGAGGCCTCTGGGGCCCACTGAGGCCCGCCTGCAGAGAGCCGGTCCTCCTTCGGGTTCTCCAGCCAGCAACTTCTCTTGGTTCATTTTTTCATCCTGACCCTCCAATTCTTCCATGAAAGGGTGTCTGGGACAATTGGACAGTTAGTTCCAAAGCCAAGAAGTCACGAACCATAAATCTTTCCTTTTTCTTTTTTTTTTGGGGGGGGGTCACACCCGGCAATGCACAGGGTTACTCCTGGCTCATACACTCAGGAATTACACCTGGCGGTGCTTGGAGGATCATACGAATGCTGGGAATCGAACCCAGGTTGTCCGTGTGCAAGGCAAATGCCCTACCCGCTGTGCTCTCTCTCCAGCCCCAATCTTTCCTTTTTTCTGACTCCAGAGAGCTGCTTTCTGTATGCATGTATGTGTTGTTTTGACTAAACTTGGCCTCTCAGGGGCCAGAGCGAGAGTACAGCGGGGAAAGTGTTTGCCTTGCACACAGCTGACTGGGGTTCGATTCCTGAACACCTCCAGGAGTAATTCCTGGCTACAAAACCAGGAGTAACCCCCAAGCATTGCCGGGTGTGACCCAAAAAGCCAAAAATAAAACAAACTTGGCCTCAGCCCCCAGGCTCCCAAGAAAAGACTTCTTTGAATGAGGGAATTTCTTTGTCTTCCTGAACTGTTCTGAAAAGTTCCAGTAAATGGACTTTCCCCCTGCCCCCTGGGAGGATTCTATAAATATTCATTCATCAGCTGTCTCATTACTGTACAGTGGCCGCCATGCAGTCCTGTGACTAATTAATTACTGTCACTAAAATATTAAATAATGATTCATTAGGTGGTTGGAAGACTTGAAGTCCTAGATCTGAGCTGTTTTTATTCATCGAAGTAAAGGACAATAACCCCTACTCTTGAAAGAACAACGAGAGGAGAATTTTCCTTTGAGCTACCCAAGATGATTGAAATTCCCAAGACTGGGTCTTTAAAATTGTGCTTTTTTTGGGGGGGTCACACCCAGCGATGCACGGGGGTTACTCCTGGCTCTTCACTCAGGAATTACTCCTGGCAGTGCTTGGGGACTATATGGGATGCTGGGAATCGAACCCGGGTCGGCCGCATGCAAGGCAAACTCTGTAACCCACTGTGCTATGGCTCCAGCCTCAGGGTCTTTAAAATTGTGAAGGCTGCCATTAGGTATGGAAGTTGTAAGCAGAAGGAATGAAGGGTTTGGTTTTCTTATTTATTTATTTATTTATTTATTTTTCTGGTTTGCTTTTGGGTCACACCTGGTGATGCACAGGGGTTACTCCTGGCTCTGCACTCAGGAATTACCCCTGGCGGTGCTCGGGGGACCATCTGGGATGCTTGGAATTGAAGCCCAGTAGCCTCTTGCAAGGCAAATGCCCTGTCCACTGTGCTATCACTCCAGCCCCGGGTTTGGTTTCCTTTACAGATCTCATCGGAGCCTGGGATTGCAGGATCAGGCAGAGCTGAGCGAATCTGGTCTTTGATGTTAACTTACTGGGGCATGGAGCAACTTAACTTGGTTTCCTGGTGGAATGTGGAGCTATTCCTGTTGCTTTTCTCAGAAGATTGTAATGAAGATTACATGA